GTGAAAATATGAATCAGATCTTACTTGATTTAGCAGTAATAAAAAAAATACAATTTGTAATATATGATAAATGTATCTTTTATTCTAATAATAGACAATTTGATATTTAGGTTAAAAATAAGGAATTGTCTTTACAAAAAAGGTAATAGCAAATTAATTATAGTTAGTAAGTTTTTTAATAGAAGATGATAGATATTTGAAATTGAAATCAGCAAATATTGAATAATATCCTACCATTCCAGTAAAAGTATGTGAATATTTAGAGCTAGATAAAGGTCATGAAGGTTATTAAACAGCAGAAAATATTATTAAACAAATAAAGACTAAAGAAATTCCTATATTTAAAATTCTTTATCCAAATTGCATTAGTGTTTTTGCATTTAACAACAGTCCAAATCATACAATATTTGCAAAAGATGCATTAGTGACAAAAAAAATGAATTTAAATTCTGGTGATTTACAACAAAAATGCATGATACATACTGGAATCCTAATATTAGTTGCAATTAATGGTATTCTCTAATGATCATCCAAATGAAATTTTCAAGGTTAATCTAAGAGGTTGAGACAAATATTACAAGAATGAGAAAAATGGCCTATTGGTAGATTATTGTTAAAATGTAAAGAATGCAAAGAGAAAAAAGATGAATTAATTGTTATGCGCACTGAGTAATGTTCTTAGAATCAGATTTTCTTGCTCATAAGGTGAAATTTTTGAAATAATTGAGAAGGCAGACCACAAATGTATTTTTTACCCAAAATTTCATTGTTAACTTAACTTTATTAAACGTTATTGGAGGGTTTTAAAGAGACATGCAAAAGAAATTGTAAATTATTCATGGATAGGATTAAAATGAATTGTACCTCAAAGTCTAGAATCAGTTCATTAATTACAATTAGAAGATTTGCAAGAAAAACTTGGCATTATATGTGTTTATATCAAAAAGGAATTGATAAAAAATTAGCTGAATATAACAGTTAAAAAATATAGATCTCATAAAAGAATTCCAGATGAAGTTATAGAAGAATTAAATCAAATTAAATTTGATTAGTTATGTTATAATTATTTTATTTTATGTATGTTATGTCGCGAAATTGCATTTTTACAATAAAAAATGATTATTTATCGACCAATAAAAATAGTTTCACGTGTATCTCACGTGACTTTGATATATGAATTTCGGACTAATTGATGAGTATAGATGCCCAAATAGTTTAATAACAATATGTTAATATACTATAGAAATTTGATTTAGCTTTAAATCTCCAAAAAAAAAAAAATTTTATATTTTTTTCGGCAAACTCCACTTTTTTCTATAAGGACTTTCGATATTCATTTTCATCATTTTTTTTTAATTAGGGAAAGAAGCACATAAAGTCGAATAAAAACCCTATTGGGATAATCCAACTGTTGCCTCTCAACATATAATTCATATTTATCTACCCATTTTACTTTCGTGCAAGAACCGTTCTTCACTCACGATTTCCTTCGAAAAATTTAGTTTAACACTAACTAAAAGTTGTTGGTAAAAAAAAAGTGATTTGCAAATTTGTATTTTTTTTTAAAGTGGTGGAATTTATACGACTCATACGTGTCGCGTCATCCTATAAAAAGTCTATTGTTCACAACAGTGATGACGACGTCGATCATATGATCAACGAACAATCTTAAGGAATGTAACCAGGCTGTTTGAAGTTATTATCCTTGACCCATGTATTGCGGTCAATTAATCAAGGAATTACAATAAGTATATAAACATAATGTCAATTTTTTTATCCAATAACCTAAAATGTCTGATTATTCTGATTATTGATTACTTTAACTTTATTTGTTATCTTTATAACATACCTATTCTCAATAGATAAAAAGGATGACTTATGTGATCAATTAGTGCAATCAATGATAACACTTATTAAAAGCAATGAGTTGAATGGTTAACAAATGAAGCGACTACCAGCGTAACGAAAACATTTTTGGTAAATTGCAGGTCTTCATTGTCTAACAATTTTCTTTTGACATTTTAAAATTATAATCACTTATCGTTATAATATTATTTCTTTATGTTATTACAGTAAAACTAGATGAGTTACCTACCAAAATTGAACAAACCGATGATACATTGCGTCATCCAAGGAAATAATCTAAATGACAAAAGTGTAATCTGTAAATCAACCAAGTAGCAATATTAGCAATCCTTCATCACCAGTCTATAATAACGTGGATTCAAAACTTGGAACACACCATGGTGTCGTAGATCCACCAGCTTTAACAACCATACGAAGTATTCACAGATATTACACAAGCTTAGGTTAAATGTGAGTCGAAATTAAGTGGGAACGTGATTTTAAAGATACATTAGACGCGTAGATTCTGTTGGAGAAATTCGATATGCCGTTGAATTGTGTCATATTAATCTCCCTAGAATTATATATGGTTGATATTAAAAGATGAAAGGTAACTTTTGTGATTAAATACGCTTCTTAATAAATTGGATTAAAAGGAATATAGTTTGCTAGTTGGTAATGTATATATAATCAGTCAATTTATTTTTGCGTTGAAAAGCTATCCTTTACATTTAAAATGGAGTATTTACTTTAACATGTCTTGAAGTTTGTGAGGTAATTAACACAGCGTCAGCAATACTCTGAACATAATTAAAACAGCAACAATTCATACAAGGCATCAGCAGTTTTCGGAATAAAATTTAAGCAATTCACAAAATTATACTACGATTCAAAACCTCTCAAGTAAGCGGGCAAGAGACTTTGCAATTTAGCAACTACTACAACATTGCAACAACAACAACTCCAACAAGAAACACTTACAATTATTCACACAACAACAGGAAGTTTATTCTGCGTATATTTTTAAATTAAAGAACCTGAAAATGTAAAGAAATTCAAAATAAGTCAAACCGTGACCTTACAATTAAAACAACGGGTTGATCTTCAAATTATTCAAATCAAACCCAAAGCAAATTCACAATCTTCAAATAGAGAACAAGTTGTTCGTATCTTTAATGTAATGTAATCTGATGTACGTATAAGTTGAAAGAACTCAATTAACAACTGGAATTATATTTATGTTAATAAGTTTTATTTCTTATAATTTTGTGAATATTATTATTAATGAATGATTAACTTAGCAACGTATTTATTCGTCGATTGTAGTGATGAATTTAAAAGCAGTTTCGCGTTGTAGAATGATCCTAGGCCGTTTTGCTAAATTCTTTAACAGCATCCAAATGCTAAATGAATATTAATACTTATACCCTTTTTGTGTTTAGTTATTTAAGCGTTAGTAGTTTTGTCGTTCTTGGCTAACACTGATTTTGAAGGTTAGAAAATTAGATCAGATGATCGAATGTCAGATGATTTACGGTGGTATATTGATGAAAATCTGCAATGAACATGTTGAGGAGTAATGTGCACAAATTTTTACCCTGAAATTAAAAAAAATTGTTCGGCATTATGTAATATGTCAAAAGCAGCGAGGAAGCAAATTTCGGATGTAACATTTTGATTCATTTATCTTGAAAGTAACAAATTTTGATGTTGATTTTCGAATTGTTCTGAGCTTTTAATTGGATGTTACATGAATCAAAAAAATAGTTCAGTATAGAATTAAAAGTGAATTGGGCATAGTAAGTATTCTCATTTCTGAATTATTATTATTATTTTTTTTTCATTTTTATTTTTAAAACTTAATACAAAAATTACTCTTCTAAAAATTATATTAGATTTAACAAGTAAATATATAAAAGTAATTGCGATAAGGTAATAAATTCCATATTCCATAAAATAAAGGATAGGAAAAATGAACATTGTGAAAATTGTAGAAATGGTGATTATTCAAAATGTAAGTTGGAAAGTTCTTCTCAATATCCTTAGAAAGAATTGCACATTGAGGAAAAGGCAAATAAGGCAGTAAACATAGGGTTTTAGGTGTTTGTTGGTAGGTCCTTCACAATTTGGGTATGTTTTTGACAATTTTGATATCTAATATACTTCTTTATTTTATCCTTTTATAACAAATCCACTTCTTTACAGATAATATGGTAATTTTGCAATAGAAAGAGATGAAACTGCTGAAAAATATTTTGAATTAATACTATATCCTACTTTAAGAATTATACTTACCATAGTAAAGTTTGATTTACTGGCAGTTTCCTCCTTTTATACTGCAAAACACTCATATTATTACAGATTTATATTATCAGATTCCTTCCGGGAAAGGGTGGTAGTATTCCCGCGATGCTTTGTCTCAATGCTGACACATCATACTGCAAGCTTATGGATTACTCTAGTTTTACACTTGTTTTTATAGCTTCGGCTGCAGGGTTTCAATAATATGAGTTCAAAGTGAAGTTGTCAATTATATTCTTCATGTATCATTACTTGGGTTGGTAAAATGAATTCAATTTCATTTCATACTTTTGGAGTATACTTGTGGAAACTGCATGTTGACATTATTTTGATGGTTTTTCCTTATTTATATGATTCGTTTAGGTTCTTTTTATAAATTTACACGTCCACACTTCACAGAAATGTTGATTTTATGATATGATTAAACAAAACATAAAACATTTAGAAGTGAAGTTTTCTTTAAAAGATTATGACTTAAATATGATCATGTCTTTTTTTATTCAAATATTCTTCAACAAAGAGATTTTTTTTTTTATTTAGTAAGAAACTAAATACAACTAAAGTAAAATACTTTTTTTATTAAAATTTTGAAATATCGCTCGTATAATGCATCATAGACTAAATATGTATGATTTTAACGAGCAAGTCAAAAGTTAAGTTTATCCGATGAGTGTGCTAGTTGTTGAAAGTGAGAAAAGAAAATCTCATATCAGTTCTGAAATGCATAATTTGTACAATTTTCCATCCATATTTTCAAAATAAATTTTCTGCTGTAAGTGGTTGAACAACACCATGACTATTTTCAGTAAAAAAAAAATAACAGGAATGATTACCTGCCTTTTATCTTAATATAGATGGTAAGTATCATTAAAAATCAAGTAATTTGATCATGATTGCGAAGCATCATTATTATGATGAAGTTCTAAATAAATTTTGCTTTAGAATTTCAACATTAAAGAGACAAGAGTAGGACTTGAAACAGAACCAGGAGATTCACCGTCATCGGAAACGTATAAATATAAGGTTCGCTAAGAACAACAACAGTAACAGAACCAAGAGATTTGTCGCCATCAGAATCAAGAGCGGAACCAGGAGATATACCACCATCAGAACCAGAAGCAGTATCATGAGACTCATCACCATTAGAACCTTCACGATCAATACCAGGAATTCCACCATCATCAGAAAAACCAACATCGCCATTAAACACACCAATGCAATCGTTGGTTCAATAACGACGAAAATATCTGGAATTATTATTTAAATATTACGTTCTTGTGGATATGAAAACAACGATACAAATAAAAAAAAATACAAAGATTGAATGAAAAAATAATTGAAAAAAGTGGGTCAATTTCTGGATCAATGAATTTTACATGAAGAAATACAACAACTTAATATTAAAAAAGGAATGGTTAATTCATTAATGATTCAAAGTAATTTATTTACCTTACTCAATATTAATAAAAAAGGTACCGTTAAAAAAAAAAAGATTTTCAAATACTCGGATATAAACAATATAAACACCAAATCTTTATTAAAATTAGTTATCATATGATAGTGATATACATAGTTAATTTCATTTGTTGCGGAAAATAAAAATTCATTTAAAAAATTGAAGAGGATATGAAACCATATAGGAAAATTTTTAAAAGATTTATTTGACAAACTATCAGTTAAATTAATTTAAAAAATTAAATTTTCATATTAGCCATGTCATTGAACAATTTATTTATTTAGAAGTCGTTCATTGTTAATAAAGATTTATTTTTTATTTTTCACACGAGATAAAAACAAGCCCTTGCGTTTAACTTTAGAAATAAATTCATGCATTATATTTGTAAAATCTAATTATGTCAGATATTATTATTTCCTCATAATTTTGATTAAATACCGATACCAAACAGCAACTAGACTTCAAGCGTTATTATGCATTTTGAATTTTTGAATGTAGGATTATCAAATGGAGCTGAAGCATAGCATTAAAAGAACATGAAGCTACCAAATTTCGCTGTTTGTCAGTTCTTTTCTTTTGATTAATGTTATATTTCTACGTTTTCGTAATTGGAAATTATCAATTTCTAATTATTTATAAAGTCGAAATTGATACTGAGAGGCTTTAAATGAACTCATCCGTTCCGTCAGCCAAGCACTTTCGATAACATCCTATAGAAAAGTTAATCTTGTGGTAAAGATGTGAAATTTGTTGAAATTTTAAAATATTTCGACATAAAAATTAATTCTTTTTAGATATCGTTTCATTGTGTTGCATTATAATGATTATTAACGAGATAAAACTTTATTTTCTTATTCAAGTAACCAAATGTTTATCAAATTTTGATCTGCAAAAATCCGGCCCATATTTTTAGCCCGAAGGAAAATTCCGATAGTTTCTAAATATCTACGCGATCTAAATTTGTCTAATACTATGTTGATCCAACCTTATATTAATCATATTACGGAGAACGTGGAACAGTCGGTCTTCGTCAGATAAAGTTACTCCCCTTTATGAATATAAACTCACAATTAGATTCATTCTTGTACGAACGAATGATGCCCCATCATTTTTGAACAATGAAAAAAGTAAATAATACAATCAATTTAATTTAACACTTCTACGTTAGAATTGTTCAGTAGAAGTCCATGCTGATCCCGTCGGAATTAGGGGGATTAGATCATGTGATAGTCATATAAGGGTTGTTTCAGTTTATTTGTTGATGTTACAATGACCGAATTATGTAACCTTTTGTAGATTTGTACTTTATTAGTCATTAAAAAAAAAGTTTTTAATATATACGGTTAATTACGTTTCGTTTTCTTTTTTTTCTCTTCTTTTTTTTTATAAAAAAAAAAATAATAAAAAGAAACATTCTAATATAATTATTCGTTTTTGGAAATATAAGAAAAAAAAAAAAAAAGATAAAGAAAGAAAAGGATAGAAAATGTCCAAGCTTAATGAAGATTGCCTGGTTATCGTATTTGAGAAATTATTTGACGATAAAAAATCCCTATTCGCTTGTTTATTCGTTAGTAAATTTTGGTGTGAAAGGTTATTACCGCTCTTGTGGAGGGACCCTTGGGCCTTGTTCTTAAATGAGAATTATGATGTAGAAAAAGCAAAATCATTTTTTAACACCGTTCTTTTGCAATTACCGGAAGAATCAAGAAGTCACTTGATTAAACGGGGCATCAATCTACCCAACCAACGAAAGCCGTCGTATGATTACGTCAGCTACTGCACGCACATCAAGCATTTATATCCATCAGATGAGAAAAAGGAAAATGACATTTATGAGAGCGTCTTTAAAGAGTATAATCAAACTCGACAACAATTATTGAAAGAGGAAATATATAAACTTTTCATTAGTAAATGTTCTTCACTTAAGTATTTGGACATAACTAATATTAATTTTCAATTATACGGATTTCCCGGAGCCGAAGCAAATCTTTCCAAACTTAGTCAATTGGCTTGCAATAATAATAATAACACTCAAGTTCTCGAGGGATTTGCGAAATTATGTAAATTGATTGAAAAGTTGCATATTAATCTCACGAGCCTGAATCCTGGACTCGCTCGTTTAATTGAGGAACAGCAAAAACTAAGGTCCATCATAATTAAAGATAATTTCGTCGAAAACAATACAGACAAGCAAAACCCGATTGAACAGGCAATAATTAAAAAAGCAAAGAGTATTATTCACTTGGATTTATCGGTGGAAAAGGGGTCCAATTTTTATAACAACCTCTTTTCAAAATTAACGGAAATACAAAAATTGGTTATATATGATAATAGGTATCGTAATGTGACGGTTCACAAGCAATTGAATTTTACATCAACTTATCCTAAATTACAAGTACTTCAAATTGGTATATCCTTTTCCGTGGCTACAAAAATCATTCAGGTAACCGACGATAGTCTTCAAATGATTTGGTTGGATAAAGGGAACCATGAATCCGAAGATCAAATTAGACAACTGGTTCAGGCGATCTCCCGGTATTGTCCAAAGCTTAGGTACCTTAAGATATTTTTTAGAGAGGAAGTTCTTGAAGATTTTAAACAATTATTAGACAAATGTAGTTTGTTAGAAGGGTTATACATCTATAGGGAGAGTATATATGCGGATGATAATATCGGTAAAAAATTATTGGATGTATTACTCGATTCTGCTCCACCTAATTTATGTAAATTTCAACTTCATTATTGTTATTTTAAGATTGATACCTTGGATCAATTCTTGAGTAAATGGACGGACAAGAAATCGTTGTACTTGTATCCAATTCTGGTCAATTATTATGAGAAGAGATTTCTAAGTAAAGAGGAATATGTTAAAAACAAAATTAGATTAAATGATTTGATTAAAAAGTATAAGGAAGAAGGTGTTGTTAAAAGGTTTGAAACATCAAAAAATTTTATGTTCATCAACCATTTCGCGGATTTAAATTTTTGAGGATGAAAATGTTAAATTAGATTTTTATTTAATTAATTCCTTATGAGGTATAAGATAAATAAAAAAAAATAATATATATATATAATTTAAGTTGTTTACAAGTGTTTCATAAATGCGGGAATAGGTTCATGCTATATGTTCAATAATTGATATGAATGATATTTTGTGATTGTGATTTCTATTTTATGCATATGCCAGGGTCCTTCTATATAATTTGCCGTTTATAAGTTCAACATAGTAAAAGGAACTGCTCAAAAGAACTTTTTTTTTTAACGATATAGTTTGTATGGTATTTATAATTAATCTTAATCTTGTGTAAAATGGATTTCTATATTATGATTATGTGTAATTTTTTTTTTTTTTTTTTTTTTTTTTTTAGAGAGTGAGTGGATTTTGCATGCTTAATGAAGTGAGGGGAAAAAAAAAAATTTTGATCATAATTTAAATTTTAGAATCTTTTAAGGCTTCTTCAGATATTTCTTTGCAATGAGTTCGGATACGAAGGCTTTCCTTTTTCCATGAAATACTCATATAAAATTTGAGCGTGTGATCTGGCGGGAATGGAATTGAGTTTAGCTCCATTGTTTTGATGAAAGCACGACAATAGACATTATAAGCGGTAAGATCTTTCGATTTCTTCCTATCTCGCTTATTGATGAAATCCTTTGCCGTCAAAGGAAATATTCCGTTATTAATGATGTTAATAACTTGATTAGGATCCATGGATATCGAAACAAAAAAAAAAGGAAAGATATTAAATAAAATTATTTTTTTTGTTGATACCAAAAAGGAATATCTGTGAGTGTCTTTTTTTTTTGGTCAAAAGTCAAGCCATTTAAATAAGAATTCTTCAGGCGGATTCTTTCGTCATTTACGTTGCACCGTCCCCGAAAGAAGTCTCAGAATTTCCATTTTCTACACTCGCGAGTAAAAATAGTAAAAAAGTTCACTTCGGAAATTACCAATTTCGGTTTTTAAATCCGTGGAATTCCTTTAATGGAATTGTTCTTTTCGTAACGGGGTGTGGAATATTTTTTTTTTTTTTTTGACCAGTAAGGTACGATAGAGATCATCGCACAAGTTGCGGGTCAGTTTCAAAAGTTCTACCAAAGAATTCTTTCGGGAAAATACGTTATGATTCGATTAATAATGGAAATTTATTCCATAGAAATTATCCATCACTGAAACAATGAAGAAATTACTAAAAACGGATAACAATATATCTTACTCTGTACACAAGATCACAACGATCGTTCCTCGTGTTGTCCTTTACCAGGAAAAAGGAACATAATTTAATTACATGCATGATTGTTAAAAACAATTTGTGTAACAGAAGTTAATAGAAGTGACAGAAGTGTGACAGAAGAATGTGATCTTCATAGCGCCAACTTAATGACTCTGATTGCCAAAAAAAGAAATATTATCACGTGCGAAGAAATGACGTATTTATATCATTTCAAAAAAAAAAAAATAAATAAAAAAATAAAATCATCCGAGCGTGAGCCATTAAAATAAAACATTTAAATGGTCTTACAACAAAATTATTTATTCTTAAAAAAAAGAAATTGGTATTTTTCAATTTGATCAACATTTATTATAAAAGAACTTTTTTAAATGCAAGAAATCCGTTGATATAAAAGAGGTAAAAATTTTATTTATAAAGAAAAGTTTAAACCAATTAAATCAATTTAAGGTGTATATAGTGTGATTCGGACCTTTTAGAATGATCAACCCTGGCGTTGATATTTGTATACGTATTGACGTTTCTGCCTTTGCTATTGTTATAATTTATTCAGTTTCTGAAGTAGCAATTGAGAATAATTAAATAAAGATCAAAAAAATTTAGTTTCTTTTGCTTTGTGCTTTTCTATATTATTGGTTTCCTTTTTTTTTTTACCTTCTTATCTAAACGGATTTGCAAACTAGAGATTGAATTACTACGGCATATGAAAAAGAGTATATTTAAAAATTCTTACGTTCTAAAAGTATTTTACAAAATAAACTTTCCGTCCTAATTGATTCATTTGAAACGTTAATTGATCATAAATCAATAAATTTTAAAAGTGACTGATTAAATAGTATAAAATTTTAAACACGAAATACACTGAGAAAAATTGAAACAAAAGATACATTAAAAATTTGCTATTTACAATCTTTTCAACGATGAACACATAATTTTTGTTATTAATATTCGCTCTCGAGATAGAAAGTCATTTGATCCATTAATGTTTATTTAACGACAAATTCCCCATACATTGATAATTCATTGGAGTAATTAAACGTTATTTCAAAGTTCACTTCAATGATTTAGGGATCTAATTTGGCATAGAATCATCGCGTGACTATCAAGACAATATAAATTTAATTAAAACTAGTCTGCAAATTTTACTTTAACAATAACCTTTGAATTTTACATTTTCTTTATTAATTTCTATTTAAAATAAAGTTTGATAAATATTAAAGAAGTATTTTTTTTATTTTAAAAGAAATTTAAGAAATAATAATTATTAAAATGTGTTTCGGGAAAAAATGGATATGTCAGAATAATAACTATGTATATCTTTGGATAGCTTTATTTTACAAATGATCATGCTGATCTTCATAGACTGATATTTGTAATCCATTAATTAATTCGGCAATATTAATTTTTAATATTAAAATTAACCAATCCTCCACTTTGTATTAAAGGTATTAAAGATAAAAGATATTCTTCTTTATTGTTTAAATTTTTTAAATTTTGAGAAAGTATTTTTTTTAGAATTGGATTCAACTAAAGAGTTTAAAAAGAAATTTGCAATCTGAACTCTCTCCTTGTATTTAATAAAAATTCTATTTATTACATCAGTCTTTTTACTTTAAAATATTGATACCTTTAATTTTCCTCCTTGCTTAAGTAAATAAAAAGTCAAAATTTTATATCATACATATTAAATTTTTTTTGTTTGACATATTTTCGGTAAATTTAAAATGCAATGCAAAAACAAAAAAATTTTAAAATAGTAAATTATAAAAAAAAAAAGTTACAAAAGTTAATTATATATATAAGAAAAAAATGAATTTTAAAGTTAAAAAAAAAAAAAAAGATCAGAAAGCGTCTGAACGAATGATAATATATATTTTATCAATTGGCTATCTTTCCATTTACAAAAAAAATTTAAAAAATCGTAATTACGGTGATTGCGATAGCTGCGCCACAATATTGAAAATATAATAATATTTTTTAACATTTTTTAGGAATCTCTTAAATGTGTTATCATTTTTCCATCCTTTAAAAAATTCGATAAAAAAAAATATTTTATTTATTATTTGTTTAAAACATGTCAATTGAAATAATAAATAATAATAAATTAATAAATTATGACTAACCTTTTTTTTTTGCTTCTTTTGAAACTTTAATACAATACTTACTACAGTCAATCAAGTTACGATCATAAATTATGCTAATTACCCTAGTTCAATATAAAATTTATTCTAATTTTCTCTATTTTTTTTTAGAAATTAATGTCAATGTTATTTTTAATCATATAGAACCATTATAGTTAAAAACAAATTCCAATAAAACTTTTGCTTACTATTAACTTGGATAATTGCCTCTAATTCTTCTTTATTACGTTTTCTTGAAATTGCAGCTGAAGAATATGGAATCGTCGAATTTATATTTATCGTAGGTAAATTAATATATTGGTTTTGTATCAAGTATCCATTTGATGTCGACGGAATACTAAATATAGAAATATTATATTATTCGAATACAAAATATTTAACATTAAATTCAATCCGTTTCAATACCTTGCAAATATCAAATTCATATTCTTTAGAAATGTATTCTGAAGTATAAGTTAATTAATGTAGTGGCTATCATTGTTGATACTTTTATTAACGTTTTAAATAGTATATAATAGGTACCTTGATTAACATTTAATCGATTCATAGATGAACTTATGGATAAAGACCTGGAAATTAAAGAACTTAAGGCTCTACTCGTAAAAATTGCTTTTGGATGCATTACAGAAAATTCAGGACCAAGAATCTTTGAATTCATTAGTTCTTTTCGTTTTATTTCCGCTTGATTAAATTGTTCTTCAATTTCATAATTTTTTTTTCTAAAACACCATCTACCAACAGTTTTACGAACTTCTTTTATAGAAGGTCTACTTAAAGGATCAAAAGCCCAACATCTTTTCATTAAATTAGCATAACATTCAGGAGTATCTTCTGTAATTTCAGGTCGTTTTCCATTAATAATTTCAATAATAAGATGAGTATCATGTTCTATGTTAGCAAAAGGTCTACAACCAGTTGTAAATTCCCACATAATCATGCCTATACTATAAACATCAGATGCTTTTGAAAATGAAGCGCCATTAAATACTTCAGGTGCTATATAAGGTATTACTCCATATATTTCATTATTTGATGACGTATTATTCGCAGGTTGCGATAATCCTAAATCTCCAATTTGACATCGATAACTTGGTTCATTATTTCCAAAAAATAATATATTTCCACTATGAATATCTCTATGTATTAGATTCTTTTTATGAATAGTTTCAATCCTAATTGAAAAATATAGATTAGTACCGTACATTTACAACCATAATAAAATAATTTAAATTTATGAGAAATTATGTATATACCCTTCTAAAATTTGCCATAAATATTTTAATTTCATTTTATTCCATGTCATCATTGTAAAATTAGTTTGTAAATATTTATTTAAATCTCCTTCTTTTGCATAATTCATTACGAACATATAATCATTTGTTTTTGGATCCTTTGTTATACCGTAATATTCGATAATACGGCTAACCTTATTATGATCAGAAGAACAAGTATGGTGCGAACTTAACTAATTTTAAACAAATAAAAAGTAAATTTGTTTAAATTTACATCTAAATTTTGCATCTTAGACAAATAAGAAAACCTAAATAATTACAATAATTACCTCATTTAAGAACTTCTTACTAATGTCTTTTGAATTTCGAAGCCTTTTTATGGCA